CATAAGATAAACAAGAAATTATTAGAAATCTTTCCTATTAGCTGATTTCTTCGAAATCATCTCCAGAATCACTCAACGGATTTTCCCGTAGCTAGAAATTTTTATAGAAATAATATAAGAAATAATATAAGCTACGTTTAATCTTACTACATATTGAGCTTGGGTATCAGCCCACGTGATGTATTGTGTGATCTACGCGGGCGAAGCCGCGGGCGGAAAGCTGGTCAACCGCCAATAATTTCGATACTACGAGATAAACTTTTACAGTTGTTGGCACTTCGGGGAAGGAAGCTCGAGGTCGGATTTCATTGTTACTAATTTGCAGTTTTAATTTAATTTGGGTTTTAATCTGAAATCTAAAAGCAAAGTTACTACAAATACAATATTTTTGTTAATGTAAAACATTCTAATACTCATTTTACATAACTTACTGGAATTTTATTATTAATTCCAATTTATTATCGTAAAAACGGTAGGCCCATCAACAAACAAATCCGTGACCACGAAAACTGTGAAACATTTAAACGTTATACATTGTAAAATATTTTATACCAAAAGAAAGCCACAAGAAGTCTTTCGATTTATTAAAATTAAATTACTTTTTTTTATAACTTAATCTATGTTCGATAGCAGCTTAGCGGTTAAGCAGTTAATTTTACTTTGTAACAACAATCGCGATTAAGTTTAGAGGCGAACAGAATGAAAGATAAACAGACATCTATTATACAGGCTTACCTACTCTCTTCGTATTGCAGAGTCTATAAGTTAAGTTAGTTAGCTTTTTGGCTTTGACACGTATATAAACTTCTCACCTGACACCACTACGTTAAGCTAACTAAACTCATTTTATTAAAACAAAACCAGGAAGCCGAAACAGAATGGGTATGAATTGTGATGATACGAAATTAATTCCGAGCTATTTAATAACTTGATACCGGGATAGTGAAGTCGTTCAGATTCAGAGGTACGAGTGTAATATAAACGTAAGCGTAATATATTACGGTAAAGCTTTGTTGAAGCCCGCTATTGCAGTATCGAGAAATGAACTCATTCGAATCAATGAAATATTTAATTGCTTTACGAGGTAACACTTTTCTTTAGACCCTATAAATTGTTGGAGTGATCGTCTGGTTTTCTTATAATAAAAACGCAGATTTTTATGGATAGTATTTATTCTATCGGCGATACAATATTTTGTGTCCGTACTCATTGACGACGCAAGAACGAAAGGGGCGCACACACAAACGACGTTGACATATATAACAAGAGTGACAGCTGTCAGTTGATATTGACATAAAGATGCGTTTAGGAACTTATACAATTCTAACATAAATCTCTTAATGAATTAAGCGTGTTCTATAATTGGACAAGTATGCTCACTGGCTGTCTTGTGTTAGTGGTCATCGGATTCCATAGAGCTCACAGCGTGAATGGCACTCCCGACCCTGGGATATGGGATTGAAATCTAAATTGTATTGCAAAATGGCTATTTCCCTGTTCAAACTGTATGATTGCTTAGCGGCAGAAATAATGATACTTAGCCATGCAGGTTCGTTACGCCCTACCAGCAAAAATATTAGCTATTTAATATTAATGCGACTTCGACCTTATCTCTAGGTTCATTAAACAAAGACGAACCATGAGATGGTTTTCTCACTTATTGTAATATAAAAAAAAAACTCAAAAGATAAATAAGTTTAAAAAACTTGATATCCGAAAATACCTAAAAATGTTTTCATTCAACATGATACATCAAAGGAAATAATATTATATATTATGATTTCCTGATTTGCACAATTATATTAATAAATAAAATGACCTTTGTATAATCATACAAAATAATGCCAATCCAAATATTAAAGTCAGTAAGTACGCAACTTCCTCAAAATTCACTTAATCCTTAAGACGGTTACGTATTTTTCTCCATAAAACTGCGCTCGTCCAATCTCTTCTTCTCCCCATCCTTGACTCGGCGTATGTCAATCATGATATCGTCCAAACACACGAAAATAGCTCAGGTTGAGCATCCTCAAAGTTTCCGTTGAAGATTCATATATGGTTTAATAAAATATGATCACGTGTCACAATTTCCTCTCAAGCTCACGTGACTACCGATTAGTCTTCGCCGGGATGCTGTCGTTTAATCCTTTCTTTGCTTGTTATCACAAAATACTCTTTGGCTTTATGGGTTATTGGTTCCTTTATAGTTCAGGTTATTCGCTTATAGAATGCACTTCCTGTATACGACATGCTGAAACACTGAATTCCTTCAAACGACTTATTAAGGAACATTATTGTTCAATTTTTATAATTTATGATAGTCAGATATGATATCAATAGTATATTTTTGTACAATGTTATATTTTTGTATGTATTTAATTTATTATGTGTCTATATGATAATCGTATTATTGTACCATTGTTATTATATAGTTTTTTGAAATAGTGTTATATTTGTATAATATGTATTTATTAAGTTTCATGTTTAGCACAGCATTATTATGTTGTTATTGTTTAATTTTCAATCGGGTAGGATCAGCGCGGTAAATATCTTAAACGATTCTTGTCCTGTGGTTGTCCTGTCCTGTCTTGTCTTGGCGATAACACCATCCATTTCACTTTTTCTATTTAACGCTTTCTATTTGCTTTGCTTTAATTATTATACTTTGATGCTCAATAGAGCATAGAAAGGTTAAGCATTAATACTGAAAAGGATTGTGCTCAATTCGGCAAATGTTTTAATGAAAAAGGTTATGGTTTAATCTTCATAATGTCGTTCGACTGTCAGTGACTTCCGACTTGGGTCTGACCTAGGGATTGGCCTTCCTTTAATTTAGCGACAAGGGTCTCGAGATGAAACGCCTTCAAAAGTTACATAACAATATTATATTAATCCTTTACTAGATACCAAAAGCGCCCGAAATACGTTAAATTTTTAATCCTATAATAAATGCTAAGGCTTACATTTAGATTGTTTTTTTATCTCTCGAACAGCTCATTTATTTTTATATAGCATTATAATAATATTACCTAACTAATATATAATAGTAGATACCTACGATATATAGACATATTGAACAGATTTATTATTAATCACAAAATATTTATATGCTTAGCGCAAATCTACGTTTCTTCTTCTCTAGAAGTTTCTTTAGGACTGTAGGCTCACTGTCAATAGAGCAAGCTTTGTCTTTATCAGTCTCCAAGCGAAACAGCTTCTCTCTGTTCTTTAGTAACAAAGTTTTGCGCCTTCCAGCGCATATCCATCCGCCAACCTTATCAATCATTAAGCGGAAGGCATTTCGTCTAAGTGATTACGTAATAAGTAAATAAACACGTGATTTCCACGACGAAGGAACAACGCGGCGTAATAAACCCCGCATACCTAAGTAATTATTAAACTTTCGTAATTATTGGCACTTATAATTACGCGCCTGCTGATGACAAGTCGTCACCATTGATCATGAACATCGGCAACACCTGTGTCGCAGCCAAGCCTAACATGAGTATCACCATCCCTTAAATATCTGCCGTGACGAAAGCGCGCGTAATAGTTTGAGTCATGGTCTAATCAGGATAGCCGAGATGTCTGTCCTTCAAAAGAACAAACGATAGAGCCTGATTGATAAGGTAATATTCACTACTACGAGTACTATTTATTCACTACTAGCTGACCCGGCAGACTTCGCAGTGCGTCAATCGAGAAATAAAAGACCTTAACTTTTGTATAAAATAAACTTAAAACAAACAAAAGGAATCCGTCCGACGGGAGACACATCAAAGGGAAAACAAAATTGTTATTTATATTTAATTCCGAGTATTTTCATAAATATGAATATTTATGAATATTTACCTTTTAAACCTTCTCTAGAGTTCCACAAATAATTCAAGATCAAAATTAGCCAAATCGGTCCAGCCGTTCTCGAGTTTTAGCGAGACTAACGAACAGCAATTCATTTTTATATATTATTATATAGATAGATTTCGAAACGCACTTTTAATGACAAAGGCGTTCAAGTGGCTCAATAATTTAAAAATTATAAACGCAAATTACAATTTTGTTTAAACCGTAACGAAACTTGTGTCGAGCACGTTAATACACTGTAATACGGTCTATAATCGTTTTCCGTATTCATTATTAATATAAATTTATTCTATACACATACTACAAAGTTCAAAATATAGTGAACACACAAATATTAATGTTTTGGTAAATAATATTAAAACATTCCGAGATAATAATTTTAAAACGTTGGTAATTATATAACAACGAAAATCCCCGCAAACTTTACAGTTTTCATTGTCACGAGAACACCTACGTTTTTTCGCAATTTGTTTGATTTCATTAAATTTATCACCAAGGCACATTAAAACATAATTTATATTTCCATCATAAAACATATTTTTTAATTTTAATAAAATTTACAGGGGTAACATACTTAGAGATGACATTGTAATTACTTTGTCCCACTAAGAATCTCCTTTTAAACACCTTTTATTATTCAAACAATAACAGCATATTGACAATAAGTAAATACATAATTTACTTATCTTTTCATTTGTTGATGAACGATTCATAGTAATTCTAATCGGTTCTGCACGAATGTAAATTAAATGAGCATGTGGAAGAAATACAATTTTAATTCAATTCTTTGCAAAATCAACTTTATTCATTTCGAATTTAAATTTATGTAAACCATTTGTCGATATGAATGGACCCGTGAATTATTGGAATAATCGAGGTGATAAGCCATTTCGATTTTTTCGAATCATCTTATTTGCCTATATTGCGAAATATGGTTTTTATGACTGTATGTTAAAAACGGGTACTTTAGTTTAGTCAAGAAACCACATTAAGATTAAAATATTTTCCGAAAAGCTTTCAGCCAAAATCTAACAACAGGACATTTTATATTTATACGGATATATATTACATAATATATTCATATTTAAAAAGGTATTTTAACCTTCAAATTAATCAAACGTATTTATGGTACTTACCGAATATTTAAACAAACGCGTTATTGATACTTTCTTGATACATTAATAATTAATACACACGATTTCTTAATTAAATTTTCATTTTGCGATTAATGAACGTGACCTTTTTAAAGTGACCTAGTCGAGAAATAATTTTCATTCACACACATATAAATTTATTACATATTTTGCACTTTTGGATAATAAGCAATTACTCGTAAATAGTTCTAAAGATAACGCGCGAAATCCGGTGCGCGTTTCCGTGGTTATCAGACGTAAACGACTTCGCATAGACACGGTCGGTGGAGTACTGAAAACGCCCAGTGAGACTTGAGACTTGAGTGAGAGACTAGAGCCACTAGCGAGTTTGTGTGACCGCTAAACCACATGTCTACAAACACAACCACAAACCGGCATTTTAAATTAAATACACTTAAACATTTATTAAAATGTATTTAAAATGCAAAAACATTCATCTTCATTAGAATTATTTGTTGGCGCACAAAAAAAAGGGTAAATAATTCACATAATTATCGCGGTAATTATAGTTCGTTGTGTTTTGTTATTAACGTGCAAAAGACAGACGAGCTCAGTCACCTAACGCTAAGCAGTTCCCAGAGCCTACATTGAATGCCTCCATCCTTGAGCTATGAATTCAAAGTCTCAATGGTCCTTCCAAATGGAGCCCATTATACTAGTCACTAGCTACGAATCTAATGTAAAATACTCACGAATTTAATTTTAGAGATCTAATTACATTATATTATAAATAAAAACGATTGTTTGTATGTTTGTCCTCTATGCTTTCCTAAGCTATTGATCGATTGTGATGAAACTTGATACAGTTATTCTTAGCACTGCAGGCAAGGTTTCCGTCATAGTACGATCAGCGTTAGATCAAGTTAGTCAACGATAGATGGTAGGTTGATGGCACGGAAGGTGATCTTTCATATAATTAGCAATCACGGGGTTGTTTTACCCCCTTACGGGGGCACGGAACGGCCCTCGGGGCAACCCCTCTGCCCAGGGGTGGAAGCAAGTGGTGGTAGTCACAGCAGATCATGAACAGATTTGTTTTTTGTTTATCATTCATTACCTTTGTTGGGAGACGAGCTTACAGGCACTCTGATGGTAAGTCATCTGTATCGTTCATGAACCTCAGCAATGCCAGGGACACAGCCAAGCTGCTGCCTAGTTTATGGTATGTTTCACTAGTATTTAATAAAAAACATGTAAATTAGCTTTCCGTTCTCTATCATCAAGGAAGTCATTTGAAAACCTGTTAAATGCATATAATAAAGTCAGAAATATTGGTCACGGCCTCTCCGCATACTTGCTTGTAGGATTTATGACAATACTCTTGGTCGGATTTTGTCTCATACATTAGCGACTTCGTTTATGATTGCTTGAAAAGCTAAGGAGTTATTTGCCAAAGTATGCAGACGTAAAATCCTTGCGACCTATCTCTATTTCACGTCACTGCGTGTGGTTGCATCTGCCAAATGTGTTTTTGTATGACTTCGATGGGTAAACGAGCTCACGGCACACCTGGTGTTACTGGTGGAAGGACCTCTTGTGATTACTGGTGGAAAGACCTCTTGTGAGTCCGCGCGGGTAAGTACCATCACCTTGCCTATTCCTGCTGTGAAGCAGTAATGCGTTTCGGTTTGAAGGGTGGGGCAGCCGTTGTAACTATACTGAGATCTTAGAACTTATATCTCAAGGTGGGTGGCGCATTTACGTTGTAGATGTCTATGAGCTCCAGTAACCACTTAACACCAGGTGGGCTCGTCCACCCATCTAAGCAGTAAAAAAAAGGCGATTATCGGAGCCCGTAGACATCAACAACGTAAATACCGCCACCCACTTTGAGACATGAGTTCTAAAGTCTCAGATTTAGAGTAAAACGGCTACCCCGCCCTTCAAACCGCAACGCATTACTTTTTTACCGCAGAAATACGCAGGGTGGTAGTACCTACCCGTACCGACTAACATAACGTCCCACCACCAGTAATTGAGGAAATTCAAATTTTAGCGGTTTGATTTTTATTACACGAGGCTATTCCTTCTGCGTGGAAGTCAATCGTGAACATCTATTAAGTACGTATTTCATTACAAAATTTGTACCTGCCTGCGGGATTCGAACACAGTTGCATCGCTTGATACGATTGCACCGGGCGTCTTATCCTTTGGGCCACGACGACTTCATATAAGCTTGATTTCAAGATCAACTTTATTTTTGTTGAGCCACAGCAGGCGTTTATCCTGTCGGGCTCATAGAATCTACTCTCTTACTTATAGCTAGTTAATTACTGTTCGGAGTCGGTTAAATGCTTCTAAGATTGTAATGGTATTTTCTTCGGCTTTCACGAGTCGTAGACATAACTACAGCCGCTTTTGCGGTTTAATATCGCGTTTTTAATTGTCATTATATTAACTTCGACGTTCCGAGAAAAGTTGTTTTAATTACGTCTAAGACTGTTATTCAGTTAATTTGTAAAGGAGATGATAATTCAAGGGGAGAAAGCTATTTGATTTAAGCGTCACTTCGCTTCTTCTTCTTCTCCACCTTATCCCACTAGGTGAGGTCGGCACAGTGAATGTTTCTATTCCATTCTCTTCTATCAGCCGTCATCTCAATACTCACTTTTTATTGTTTATTTTTTATTGTTTACATTTTACGTTTTTTATTATTATATTACTATTATTTATTATTATATTTTCTATTTTATATTTTACATTCCGCTTAATACGCGTTATTTATCTTTGTAATTAAAGTTGCATTTTATTTCGTATGAGCATAAACAGTTCGATGTTTTTAATTGATCTTCTGAACTGAAAATTTAAACTTGAAATGGCTCTCCTGTAAAGATGCAAAAAAAAAAAAAAAAAACAAAAGCCTTTCACTTCTCGATGTAGTTGCTTTGGTAATTTTCATAAGCGATGGCAGCCACTCACAATGTACGGCATCTAATATTATCCATAAATAATGTATTCTAAATGTATGCGCCCTTCCTTCTGGAAATGCGCCCAAAGAACTCGAAACTCCTTTGTGCGCGTGGTGCTGAGCCACCAAATTTATGGTATCTATAAACTATTAGGTATAGGCATAGTAAAATCTGATATTACATACATTTGTAATTGTACTAAAATGTAGTTTAGAAATTTACAGCGTTGCCCGCATTCAACGGCAGTATTAAATGGACGATTAATTAACAGTCGTATCGGGGATAAGCCGATTAATACTGATTGAGTTTACCCATTGTGTCTGTGCATAAAACAAATTTAAATACCACATATAACATTTCTAAATAATATTTACTTTCGTTCTTTCTTACTGGTTCGTTTTATTAGGTAAAATAGCCCACGGCCCGACTGATTTTAAGCGGTTACCAGAGCTCATAAGGTCGTTTCTTGAATTGCATTGGTGCAAAGGTTGACTTTTCCTTTAAATCGTTGCGCAAGATTGCTTCGCGTTTAAAATAGGTAGGACGGTGATAACCATCTGTACAAACCTCCATCTTGTCCTACCATGGGTAGTGTCTGGGCTTAGGAAATAAAGAGTTAGGTTACTGTGGATCAGGAAACTGCAATACCGAGAGATGATTGAAAAGTCTTCAATTACTAAACTTGCATAGATTCATAAGCGCCCAATCTGAAAAATGTCACTTGGTGCACATCGTAGTGTAGCTGTCACTTTGCTATCAGCGGTATTTTACGGGGTTGAACTGAATAGTAATTTTGTGTTAGTACATTAGTAATACTACGATTTCTACATTTCATAGTAAATATGATAAGTCATACATTCATCTAAAGCTATCTAGCTACCTATCGAAGAACGATTTTCGCTTTCGTACGTTTTTTTTTTATAAATAGAATAAAAAAAGGCTTTTATAATAACTCCACCAAACTAATGAGGTATATAAAAATTGTGATAGAAGCAATGGCAAAAAAATTTTGAAACCAATTTCAACTAAATTTGAACTTCTATTATAGTTTTGAACAATGTAATTAAATTGTCCTTTGTATCGTGAAAATTGTTATTTGGCCTTCTTAAAGTGCTTATTACGAAATAAAATGAAGACACAGAGACTATTAAATACGACACAAAATTACAAAATGTTTCTTAGGCAAACCCTTAACTACTAAAGATTTCTAAAGGAGACTTGGACTTCGAAGCCAAATTTAATAACCTAATATAGACTCATATAGCTTTTTCATCGGTTTCACGAGTTGTAAATATCTATTTTTTATAATATCACCATATCCGTGAGCACGAAAACCGTAATATATCCGAAACATAGTAAATAATATAATGCCAATAAAAAGTCCGAAATTAAATCGTAAACGTAGTTTGAAGAATGGGGTGTATTTTTCTGTTTCATAATATAGAAAACCAGCTCAAAAATTACATAAACCAACAGATGATCCAGTAACTAATAAATACGAGACGTATATTTGAGATAACTAACAGAAACTTACTGGTGGTAGGACCTCTTGGGAGTCCACACGGGTAGGTACCACCACCCCGCCTATTTCCACCGTGAAGCAGTGTTGCGTTTCGGTTCGAAGGGTGGGGTAGCCGCTGTAACTATACTGAGACCTTAGAACTTGTATCTCGAGGTGGGTGACGCATTTACGTTGTAGATGTCTATGGGTTCCAGTAACTACTTAACATCAGGTGGGCTGTGAGCTCGTCCATCCATATAAGCAAATAAAAAAAAATAAAAAAAAATCCATTACTCAGTTGTATTTTCGTCACTAGTTATTAGTTAAGCTATGAAACCATACTTTTATCAAAAACGCTTGTAACTCTGTTTTTAGAGAGCTNAGGTGGGTGGCGCATTTACGTTGTAGATGTCTATGGGTTCCAGTAACTACTTAACATCAGGTGGGCTGTGAGCTCGTCCATCCATATAAGCAAATAAAAAAAAATAAAAAAAAATCCATTACTCAGTTGTATTTTCGTCACTAGTTATTAGTTAAGCTATGAAACCATACTTTTATCAAAAACGCTTGTAACTCTGTTTTTAGAGAGCTATTATCCGAAGAATTTTCTGTTATCTTTGAACGATATATCTGTCATTGAATTACACCACGTTCATCTGTTAAATCGCGGTTCCGATCCGGCGATAAATTTACTCGCAAAGCGAAGTAGCTGCAGTTGGGCGGTTAACCTTTGGAAGCCCTCGGGCAGATATTAGCAAACTCGACGCCTACTGTCTAAGCCCGAGCTTGTCCACCTTTTGTTATTGCCATGTGCAACGCCGCGCCTGCCCTGGTGAAGCTAAA